ACCAGCCGGTTTTGCCCAACCGACAGCTGGTCCAGGTGCTCTTTTTTGGTTCTCACCAGCTCACCCTTTGCCTGTTCCATCAAAGTGTTGATGTCTGCTTTGAGCTGATCAATTTCGAGCTTGCAGTCCTCTGCAGCTTTGTTGGCATTGTCAGCAGCATCCGTAAGCTCCTGGATGAGTTCCTCCTGTTTCATCTCTCTTGCTTTAGTTTTGACTTCAAGCTTTATGGAGTTGTATTGACATACATCAAGTAATTCGGCTGCTCGTTTCTGGGCATCCCTTACCTCTTGCTTCTTCCGTAAGGGGGTTTTCAAGGCATCAACCTCAGCAACGCCTATAGGATCATCCGAAAAAAGAGTTAGTGTCAGGCATAAACAAATAGTAATTTTGCACAAAAGTACCCCATCCGGTTTTTGGCAAAATAACCAGAAACTACCCCAACCGGTATTTTTACCTCAGCAAGCAAGCAGAGAGTAAATCCGGTCAAGATTGACCTGGTTGATACCCGACACTTCCTCCCTCTCAGACCGGGTAAGGGTCTTTAGCATTCGCCGGGCATAATTTTGCATATCTGGAAAACGGGAAGCAGTATCTGCCTCATGAGAGACATTGGTTAAGTGTTGGGCATAGGCAGCCCCTATATTCAGCCGGTCGCCGGAGGGCTCTCCTGATTGAGAAGTATGAGACTTGACTCGAACTGGCCTAAGCGGCCGGGGGGGTCAGAAGTGAAATCCATACCTTGATTTTTAGGCCGCGGGGTGCCACCACCCCCAGCCGCAGTAGAGCCGGATGCAATAGCAGGCACCCGGTTCGAAGGAACCGCAGGCTCCCTAGATCTTGCCCCAGCCGGACCCGAGCTTCCACCCAGGGTTTGCAGACTTTTGCCTGCAGTTGTGGGTCTCTCGCCGGCTAAGGTTGGGGCGGGGCCTGTTGAGGTCCTTCGCCTTTGAGAGGCCGGTTGCGGGAGTTCCACTCCTGGTCTCCTCCTGACCATTTGTCTAAGTGAGCGGGGCACGTTCTGTCTGCAAAAGATAAGAAATCAAAAGTTAGTATCAAAATAATTAAAAAGATATATAGGCGGTATAGAAATCAGCCGGTATTTACCCCGCCAGCCCTGCCGCCAGGTGGGCCCGTTTATTCTCCAACTGTTCCTTCCTTACTTCGGCTGCAGACTTAGCCGGTGTCATTTCAGGAAGAGTCATTTCGAATCCTTTTTCTGCAAGAAAACAAAGAAAAATGTAAGAAGCATTCTAACATCATACAAGCGGCACAGTATGCCGGTTAAGCAGTAAACCTACGTCTGTCCCAAAGGGTGCTGAGGCCGCAGGCGGAGAGGAACGCCTCGTTTTTAAACCAGTCCGGATGAGGGACCCAGAATTTAGGAACAATGATTTGTGTCCCATCATCCAGTGGCTCAGTTGTTTTCTTAAATAGTCCCGGCTCCATTATGGAATCCCAAGCCTCAGCCGGTACCCTTGGAAGGGCGCACTTTTTTCCCAGTAGAACCGGGTTCTTGTTGTAACGGCGCATCCGGTGATTAGCAGCCGTAGATGGGGAAGAAACGTAGTAGAACTTGCTCTTCCAGCTGGTCCACTTGGAGGGCTTCTCCAAAGTCATCATATACTCCGGGTGCGTTGTCAGTGTGTACCACGCATTCTAGCCACCCGGTGCCCTGCTTAAGTAGTGCATGTGGGCAAACGCCTCCCAGCTAGGCGTCACATCCTGCATTTCGCAGGCGGCAATATACCCCAAAATGTTGACCCATGAGTTGGGTGTAAGTTGCTAGACCCCTAAGTCATAGCCTCTTAATATGGCTTTGACACATCTGTGTAGGGGGAACCGGAGGCCGGCTTTGAATGCCGCCTCATAGCAGCCGAAATAGTTATCGGCATGTTTAAGGTCGTCTTCCCTGACGACTGATGCATCAGCCAGCGGAACGCCAACCTCCCAGTCCTTCCCAACCGGGCGTTTTTCCAAAAATGCCGAGAGTGTTGCGTTTAACGTCACCACATCCCGGGCGCTCATATGCGCCTCCATCGGATTATTTATTGCAGGCCAAGTATATGCCTCCTCATCATCTTGAGGGGCACCCGACGTCATAGTTGAATATGTAGATCCGGATTCTTGATCAGTTCCCATATCGCTTTAGCTCCCGGATTCTTCCAGAATCTCATCACTAGGCGTTCCTGGTTGATCAAAGGGAGCGTCTTCAACCGGAGTTCTAGCTGAATCGTCTAACTTGTACTCGGGGTCAACAACCGTTTTCCTTGTCCGAGCCATTCTATCCTGCACATGAACAAAGAGGGTCGGATTCGCAGAAATGTAAGGGTGTTCCATACACTCCCAGACGGCATCCCCAGTCCTAGATTCAGCCGTATCCGGTGACCGATTGACAACTGCCCTAGGCCGTGCCTTGTGTGTATTGGGAGAGTCCATTATTCTCTAACCTATACAACCGGTAAACTCAAGAGGTTACAAGGGGGCAAAGGTGATACCTTGATTTTGTGAGAACGGTTGAAGAAGACTTGAGTGCTGAGATTCCAAGGTGTGGCTTAAAGATGCCACGGGCGGAAAAGTCCGTTTGCGTTTTAAAAACCTGAAGCACAAATACAAACAGTTAGGCATTTTGGAAGAAAATCACCCAAAGATACCCCAAGCGGTATCATAAAAGCTTGCCCAAAGATACCCCAGGCGGTATCCAGGAAGCTTGCTCGAAGACAACCTAAACGGTATCACAAAGTTTTATTCAAAGATACCCCATGCGGGATCAATGAAGATCATTCAGAAATGCCCCAGACGGAACATTTCCGGCCGTGGGTCCATTGAATGGTTATTGAAAATCTCCAAGGATACCTCAGACGGTATGAGAGCCGGCTGAGGGTGTTTCAAAAACAGGTCATGAGCAAACTATGAAGACAATTGCTCGCCTGAGGGTGCGAAGGATCCAAGTCTTGAAGATTAGCTTGAAGATACCCCAGACGGTAAGTGGGCCTAGCTTTGAAAAACAATTATCTGAAGATGCTCCAGACGAATTGGAGATCCTTGTTTAAAGGTACCCTACGGTTACTCACCGGCTGAGGGTCTATGAGATGCAAGTTATGATGAGAAATTGTTAGAAGATGACCCCGGCGGAATATCTCTGGGTGAGGGTCTATTGGATGCAAAATGTTACTGGTCTGAAGAAGCCTCAGACGGCATGTTACCGTCTGTAGGTCTTTTGAATGCAATCCCCAAAAGATAATTGTTCATAAATGTCACGGGCCTATGGAATATATTATTGGAAGTCCATTGCATGAAGACATCTCAGGCGGTCTATGGCGGTCTATTACCGTCTGAGGGTCTGTTTTTGAAGGCCATGATTTGAAGATATCTCTGAGGTTGGACCGTCTGTGGGTCTACCAAATGCAAAGCATGAAAAGGCCTTATGGGGTCCCAGACCGTGTCTGTGGTTCTATTCAAACTAAGAAGAAAATCAAGTCAGACGGTACCTAGGTGAGTTAATTGAAGAAGCCCTCAACCGGTATCCGTATGCGTTCGAATGAAGAAGCTGGTTGCACAAATTGGCAGCCGGTGTCAGAGCTCTCAAGAAATTTTTGCAAAATTTGTGAAGTGAGGAGGAAAGAGGGGGTATGTCTCTATTTATAGACAAGCGCAGACCTTCGGCCTCAAATTTTCAAAATTCGAATCCAAGAGAGAGAGGCAGGAAGCAACTCAATCGTCGCCTCCCCTGTGCTTGACACCTGTCACAGGTGACATGTGGCTACGCCACGTCACACCTGTGAGGGGCAAATGTTTAGGGTAAAAATACCCTATGCCACGTGGCCCAATAGTATGATGACATGTGGCAGCCCACCAGAGGCTCAACGGGATCCAATCGAATGCTGACACGTGGCATCAAAACCCTAATCAGGGAACATGCCTCCCCCACTATAAATAGGGGAAAAATCCTCATTTATGACCTATTCATAAATACATACACAAAACCTGAGCAATCTTAATTGCGGAATTTTCCTGAATCAGAGAGAAACATTTATTCTACTTTTCGCACGCTTTCTCATCCAGAATCATACTAACTTGATCTTCGGAGGCGGAACTCCACCTAACCGGAGTTTCGTGGTTTTGTAGGAATAGAAGTCAGGCGCGCATACTCTGTATTGTAACTCTCCCGAGGGACCAAAAACACCCGAAACAACTTCCACTCACGTGTGTGTTGGAGATTACAAAGCTTTAAATAAGGATAACATATCACAACTACTACCTAGGCTTAAGGAAATAAACTTATTTTTTAGTGGATAAACATGCCCACTACTGGTACAATATCTCAACTAAGTATAACATTACAATTGACTAAGTAATTAAGACTCACGTAAATTCCTAGTTATACGAAAATTAAAGAAACTAAATAACTAAGCTCCAAAGCACTTGAAACCATTAAACCAAACAAATGCAATTTTGAACCTTAAGAGAGAGTTTGAGATGATGGGGATGAAAAGCAGTGAAGGTGTCAAGGAATAAGGTAGTTGGCTAATTTCCATCAACAGTCAAATTTACTTGGTGGAGAATTTGACAATCAAAGAGTAGTGGAAAACTTCTTGTCAGTCTTTCGAAAAGGTAAACTTTGTTCCATTGAAGATACTCCCTCCATCCCATTAAAAAGCCCCATTTTCATTGTGCACATAGATTTAGAAGATACATTTTGATGAGCTATTGTTGATTAAAAATGAATAAAGAAAGTCGTGGATATATTTTATTGTTTTAGGGGAAAGAGAGAGAAGTTATGGTGGGGTTAAAGGGGTTTTGTTGATTACAAATGAATAAAAACATAAGTTAGTGGATGATGGACTCCACAGAAAGGAAAAATGGGGCTTTTAAACATGGACAAACATTGGGTAGAAATGGGCTTTTAATAGGGGATGGAGGGAGTACTAATGATTTTTCAAAGTTGACAGTTTCAGAGTTAATCAATTCATTACATGCCGTTAATCAAAGATGTATGAAAAATGGAGATGGTGATAAAGTTTGAGGTGACCTATTGGCTTAGTCATCTTTCCACAAAAAGAAAGGCAAATCTCTCTAATGCAACAATTGTCATAAGATCGGTCACGAGGAAAAAGATTGTTGGCATAAGGGAAAACCTAAATGCTTCAACTATCAAATTTGGGTATATAGCAAAGAATTGCAGGTTTCAAAATGATGAGCAAGAGTTTATGGAACAAGTGGTCGTTAATGAAACTTTATTTTGAAGTTGTGGGTGAGATGTTCACCATGGAGAGAGTGCTCCAAACTTCAAAGATTAGAGGTTGATGATAATGTGCATCAACAACATTTGTATGAGATGAGAAGTGCATCTTGGATGAAGAGACGGGCTTCATTTATTTCATTTTCTTAAACTTTAAAGCAAAGGGGTGTGTTGAAGTTAGAGCTTCAAAGTTTAGTTATTTAGTTTCTTTAATTTTAATATTTCTAGGAATTAGGCATGCCATGACAGTGGTATGAATGTGGAATCTGAACTGCAATAAGTACCTCATACAATAGAGAGATTCAGAGGCTGGTGAATATAGGCTTAAGAGGAATTCAATTGGCTCATTACTAGATCTACTATTCACACAATGATTGGGAGGTGATTTTTATCTTCCTCTTTCTACTTGTTTGCTGAACAACCGATTTAGATCATTTTTGCTATTATTGTGATATTAAGTTTTAAATGGCAAGTCCCTGCACCTGTATCCATATTTAGGACAGTGCCTTCATGTCCTAAACTTCCAGGCATAACAAGTCAGACTCTTGCATATATACCCAGCAGTCATATGTCATACCTATAAATTACCTGTGTCAGATTTATAAACAACTCCCACTCTACGGGTCTTACTAGATGAAGGAAAACTGAATGTGGCTAAGAAGGAATCAGAGAATGAGACCTGACTTTTATTTAGATTTGGGGTTTGATTGAGCTATGGATTATCAAAATACATAGTAAGGCTAAAAGAGAGTTCTTATGAAAATTCATCCTCCTGATCGATCCCTAATTTTCTTTTATGTATAGAGCAAACTCATTGCTTGCTTCCTCTCCAAGCTAATCTTAACAGACTTTTATGCACTACCTATAATTCCCCCTCCTTAGGTCGGTTCATTACATAACTATTAGTGAGCATGTGCCATAAACGAAAGTGTGGCAATCAAATTGGGATGGATGTAAAAGAAAAGTATGATGATAAAATTGGAACAGAAAGAGTAGAAGATACCCCCCTTAACCTAGTATATGGGTGTCTGTTTCTGTATTACTTCGTATTACACTGACATTTCTTAAGCATGCCTCTGACTTCATCTATTCATACAATGCAGTTGGCAGTTTTAGCAGGTGATTTGTTGCTCTCTAGGGCTTGTGTAGCTCTAGCCTCTTTGCAAAATAATGAGGTAAGACCTTTAAAATCATGACTCAAATTAACAAAAAAGAAAAGCATGTGGCAGTTTTCAAATGAGGATGCATTTTGCAGGTTGTGTCATTAATAGCTGAGGTTGTACAGCATCTTGTCACTGGTGAGACAATGCAGATGACAACATCATCTGAGCAGCGATTAAAGTATGTAGTTATGCTCTGGTAGTTATTTTTTGTGCACCTTTTGCAGTCATGCTATGCTTGGAAAGTGTGACTAGATATATTTAGTACAATAAGGTTGCTGTTCTTGTAAAAAGAAAAAAAAATGTATTTCATAAAGCTAAGACTGCTTGTGTTGACGGGTGCAATATTTCCATCTTATCTTGTGCACAGATTCATCATTTCGAATTTTCTGACATGATATTAGGATTAATGCTTCAATATGTCAATATTTCTTGCTTGTTTGATGTAAGTTATTAAAGGTTATGAATATATAAGGAATAGTGGAAGTGAAGATGGGATTTTAGGAAACAAAAGGGTAATAAGAGAGCATTTTGTGGACATTAAACATTTGAGGGAAAATTGTGTTGGTAATTCTATTGAGTAATTACATATGTGCTAAAGAAATTTTTTATCTCATGGGTATCTTTGTACAATATTAAATTTACTTTAGATGTGTATAAGCTATGAAGACATGGACCCGCTCCTATATGGAATTACTTGAAATTAGGTGTTGTAAGTTTTGTTAGAATGAGAATATTTAGTAGCTCTTTCAAGCTGATAGAAATGATTATTTAATAGGGCAAAAATGTCTAGAAGAACCTGTATACACATACATCATTCTGTCAACACAACTACCATAATTCTTTTTCACATTCAACTACCCAATAAGAGATTTTCTTTAATGCTATCTTGAAGCTTAAAGAACCTAAGTTCACCTCAAATATCTCGCCATTTTGTCAAACAATGACAGGTATTGTGTCATTATTAGAGATGGGAGGGGGGGGGGGTTAGCAATTCTTCTAGTACCCAACTTGTGGGAGGGGGGGGGGGGGGTTGGTAAAGTTTCATGGATGTCACTTGTCTTATTCTGAGTGGAAAAAATCATTACAGACAGGAAGGTGGACAACAAGGTCAGACAAAGTGTCAAAGTTGGAAACCTGTATCCTTGCTACATAGTTAGCCTTCCTGCTCTCCCATTAAAATATTGTTAAACCATTGTCCATTTGATGATGAGAAGAGTGGATTTTCTTCACAATGCTTTTGTATTTTGATGCTACAGACCGTTCTGTTGCTCCTTTGAAACTCTTTCAGGATGCTCAGTAACTGCCATTTCTGGGTGGTGAGACCTTAACATAGTCAAGATCTTTTGAACCACTGACATTTGGAGAGATACACTCTGAATTTAATGATGGCCCATTATATCAATCGACACTCAAGAGGCAATGTTTGCAGCGAGTGTTTTGGAACTCTGGATACTCTTTGCAAAACCTATTGGCTCTTACTTTTCACATCTTTCCAGATGCTGAATGCAATATTGAGTACCCCAGCCCCCAGGGAATATTATCAATGTTGAAAAATTTCTGTAGACTTAACCAGCCTATGAAAGGTTGAGTAAAGAATTCACAGCTGATAGGAATGGATATATGAAGGGTAGATTCTACTATAAAATTGAAAAATGGTACCCTGTCGAAGGCAGAAGCTAACCTACAACTTAAGCACAAAATCAGAATAAATAAAATCCATTCAATAGCCACAAGCCTGAAGAATAATATATTATTGAGAGTTGTCGGACACAGACCACAGCCAAGAAAGTCCCTGGAATTAATTTGGTGTTTGGAAAACAAGATGTGGGAATATGTTAGAAAGGAGCTGATTTCATTTCTCTCACTAAGAGAAAAGAAAGGGAAGCTATGGCCTCCACAAGGAAGGGGCAACCAAGGATGAGATTTTGCAGATCAGAGGGAAAAAGTTAGAGACAATTTTACGAGGTCACAGAAGCCATTGTTGACCAGGTCAGGGAGAGTCAAAGAGTCATCAAAGGGGATCCTGATTGATGATGGTTATTACCTTCATTGGGTAATTTAGATCCACGGGCAAATAATCTCCTTTTTTAAATTCAAATGTGGTGTTTTTCCAACAAAAATCTCTTGATGGTAGTTGTTTGCTTAATTTCTATATTGGGTAGTTATTTTTCCTGCATAGGGATGTGGAAAAGGTAAAATTTTCCCATTAGTTGAACACTTAAACTTGCTAGAAGCTGCTACTGTGATGTGAATATGTTCAGGGTTTATTGCTCTTGAGTGACTTAGTGGCATCATTTGTCTTATTCTTAAAGGCAGGAAAGAGGGAGAATATAAATATGTTATATGGAAGCAGATATGTGGTGGTATAGTATTATTTAGTTGGCAAAAATAAAGTTAAAAAGTGGAATCGATGATAGAAAAATTCTTTTTGCTTTTGCTGGCAGACTAAATATAGGGATATCAAGGCTAATTGATTTTTCTGGTTTATTAATGTTGAAAACCTTGTGTAACAACTGTTCTAATATCCTTGCATTGCCTGGGAAGAGGCTTATAAGTTTTGATAGATGGTAATTCTTGCCATTACTGATTTATTTTTGTTTGCTATATTCAAAATTCTTAATTAAATATTTGAATACAAACTGATGCCATAATTTTCAAGTTGTTCTTCTTGCTGTGGTGCCTAATGTCCAGCAGTTTTCCCATTTGCTTTTTATGTAATTTCTCATAAGGTCCAGATTGTTGATGCTATTTTTTATTTATTTATTTTCAAATATCTTGCTATGTATATTGATATATGCAGCATAGCTGATATTTTGGTTCATTTCTACTCGCAGCATGCAGTATTACATGGAAAAGACCTACTACAAAACAGCATCATTGATCTCAAATAGCTGCAAGTCCATTGCACTCCTTGCAGGGCATTCTACTGAAGCTGCTATGTTATCTTACGAGTATGGGAAAAATTTGGTGAGTGGTATCTTTGTCGGTGTATATTATGGTTGGAATCGTAAAAGAAATTACCTGTCAATTTTGTGGAAAGTTTGGGGTTAGATATTTCATATGGTGCTATGTCTGGCTTGCAGAAGATGAATATGCTTATATTAAGTAGCTGATAATTTGTACGTCAATTAAATCAAAATGAGCCTACCCTATAAGTCTTCGAATGTGCTGTCTTAATTATTTGTCGCTGCTTATCTAATTAAGTACTAGCCTTTTGTGGAAGATTTGTGATTTGAAAATGATGATATTTTATCATGATACTTGGTTTAGTGTTTTTGCTAATTTGCGTGTATTCTACATGTATGCTGAATAGCTTGAGCTGCTTGAACCTGTAAGTGTCCTCAGTATAGTTTTCATTATTTTTATGCATTTTACGGCTTATTAGAGAGTTGTGCTATTTACTCCAAATTTATCTATTTTCTGGCTTGTGGAAGCTTTCCTTAAATATTAAGTTCTTAATAATACATGTGGAATGATCAATATATGGCTTTGAGAGACTTGGCTTGTGAACTCTGGTTGCATAAATGTGTGGTGCCAGCATTATTCTTATGTTGTGAATGGAGTGTCGATCTCTATATATCTCTAAATCTAGTTATTTGAATAAATTTTTTTTTTTGCCTGAAAGTGACTTTCAACCATTTGTGAATGAAACCTCAATAAGATGTTATTTGCTTGGAGAATGTAATTTTGTTGACAAATGAAGTTAAACTCCCTCCTTCAATATTTTCATTTGAATTTTTGGTAATGCTTATTGAAATACGAATGGATCTTCTTTCCTAATGGTACTGCATAGAGTAGATATCAATTATATAAATTTGGGATGGGATTTTTCGTTGAAACAACCTGAGGCTACTGTTGTTTTGCGGCACTAGTAATTAAACTTGATCTTGTAAACTAACTAATCTGATTTAAATGATGTGGGAGCAAAAGGTGTTCAGCCCAAATATTTATTTTGTTAATATTTGACTTTTTGTTTGCTCCACGACACTTTGCACAGGATTTTAGGACAGTGAAAGCGTAGAGAAAACAATTTCAAAAAGAAAATAGGTGTTGTAAACTAACTAATCTGATTTAGATGTGGGAGCAAAAGGTGTTGAGCCCAAATATTTATTTTTGTTAATATTTGACTTTTTGTTTGCTCCACGACACTTTGCACAGGATTTTAGGACAGTGAAAGCGTAGAGAAAACAATTTCAAAAAGAAAATGGGTGTTAATTACAGTCCAAGAATGGGAAATGGTTTGCTTGATTAATATATTTCTTACTTGCCAAAAAAAAAAGGGTTTTTCTACGTTGTGACCTTGTTTTTTTCGCGTTTTCTACGTTGTGACCTGACAATTAGGATTTTCTACGCTGTAACCCTAAATTACCAAACGTTTCTACGTTGTGACCCTGCCGTTAGTTGCTTCCGTTAACTTTAACTATTTCCGTTAGTGGGGCCCAACCACCGTCCTTCCCCACCAACCACCACCCTCCCCCTCCTTTCCAGCCACCTCTTCCTGGCAGCCCATCCCCTTTCCCTCCAAATTCTGACCACCGCACTGTCTTCCCCTCCCAAATCCGGCAGCCCCACCACATTCCTCTCCCAAATCCGACCACCCCACCCCCTTCCCCACCAAATTCCGACCAGCGCACCCCCTTCCCTTCTCAAATTTGACAGCTCCACCTCCTTCCCCTCCAAATTCTGACCACCCCACCGCCTTCCCCTCCAAATTCCGGCAGCCCACCACATTCCTCTCCCAAATCCGACCACCCCACCCCCTTCCCCACCAAATTCCGACCAGTGTACCCCCTTCCCTTCGACAAGTTGTGTCGAAATTGATTGAGGGCTTTGTTTTCTTTAGATTTCAATTGCAAAATCATGTAAATAATTGTTATTTTCGTTTTGAAATCAAAGAGTTTGGTTCAAAAATTTTAAAAACCCTAACTTTTTCCCCAATTTGATTTGGAATGAAAATCATCAAATTAATTCAATAAGATTGAAAATTGATACCAAAATCTTGTCTTGGGATTGAAATCGAACATCAAATCGCTAGAAAAACCTTATTTTGATTCGAAATTGTTCGAATTTTGGCCTCGTTTTTCTTCTTCATCGCGGCACCGTGACGTGGCTGCATTAATGGCTGTGCGTGCAAGGGTTGCGCGCCATTCAAGTGGGACGTCGGTGGTTGCGGTGGCTTAGGCGATTTCAGGCGTCGACGTGGTGGCTGGAAGCTGTTCCTGGCTGCGGCTGCTGCGTTGGCTGCTACCTGCTGCTGCGTTGGCTGGAAATTGCTCCAGCTGACGTGGCAGCATGTTTAAAAAAAAAAAAAAGTTTAATTTTTGGGGTTTAACAGAAAAACTAACGGCAGTTTAACGGTGAGATTACAATGTAGTGACTTTTGGTAATTTAGGGTTACAGCGTAGAAAATCCTAATTGTCAGGTCACAACGTAGAAAACGCGAAAAAACAGGGTCACAACGTAGAAAAACCCAAAAAAAAAAAAAAAAAAAAAAAAAGAATGGGTAATGGGGCAAGTAAAGAAGAATGTAGAGAGTGTAAAAAGTTCAGCATTACTGTATCTGTTGTGGTTTTTCTGTTTATAAGTTCATGTGGCAAGGAAGCGGATGGGATTGTTAAGAAATTACAGCAGAAAAATAGGGAAGAAGAAGGCCGGGATAGTATGTTGTATTGATGATAAATAATTAGAATACAACTCTTTGCTTTTGAGAGGTAAGGGCTCTCCCACAAAAGAAAAATCAAGAGAAAAGTTCTCAATAAACATTCAGCATACCCTTTTCTTATTACAATCCCCTATATATAAAAGAAAAGCTCATAACTTCTCTTAACAGATTCCCCCATAACAAATTTCACACACTTATCTAGGAATCACCATAATTGACTGAAAACAAATTTTACTGGGTTGCCCTCAAGTGGAGCTAACTGACTTTGGCGCCTTTTTCTGGCATGCATAATTGAATAGGAGTGGAGGTTCAGGTTGAATCCTGGCAATGTGCTGCAGAAAGCTAGCAGATGTAATAATGTTCATCTAACACAACAGTGTTAATAATTTATATTAGGAAAAATTGACAGGAATAATCCCAACTTTGCTCTATTCGCCAAAAATAATTCCAACTTTAGATTATTTTTTTAATAATCCGAACTTTAATATGAATTTGCTTCCAATGGTCCCAAGTGACCAACAACCTGTTGAATAGGTAAATTTTTTAAAAAAAAAGTTTTATGTATACGTGTCATTTACGTGATTAGTCAAAAATATGTTTGATTTTAATTTTCTTTTTTAAAAAAAAGTATCAGTTACAAATTGACACTTAACTTTTTTTTAGGAAATTAACACTTTATTTTTTTAACAGGTAGGAAAATTAACACTTCACTACATATTAACAATTAACTAAATGTTTTTAACTTACTATTAAAAAAAACTAATTATTTTAAAAATAATTTAAAAAAAAAAAAAAACACCTTCCCCCCCCCCCCCCGTAAGCCCCAGCCACCTGCCCACCTCCCCGGCCGCCAACCTTCGCCTAGTCCCAAGCCACCCGTCACCCCCGCTGCTCCCCAGAACCTCTCCCCTGCGCTGCCCATGCCGTCGCCTTTCACCCTAAACCTCCATTCGCCCACCCCAAAACCCCCTCCATCCCCCAAAAAACTTTAGAAAAACCCCCTCCACCTCTTAAACCGCCAATTGCCCCTTCTCCAACCCTCGCAACCCCCTATTCGCTAGGGTTCCGAGGGTGAGGGAGGTGGAGATCGGGGTTTATGCGAGTGAGGGAGATGTTTTTTTTTAAGGATTTCGGGAGTGGCCATGGTGGTTTTGGGGTGGGAGGACGATAGGAGAAGGGCGGCGCTGAGGTGGATCTGGATGCGAGCGGAGGTGGGGGCGGGGGACCCTGGGCTACGCGGAGGTACGGTGTTGGAGAGGTGGCTGGGCTACCGGGGAGGGGTTGTGGGTTTTTACTTTTTGGTTAATTTAAAATTCTTTTAATTTTTAAATATTTTTATTTAAATTTTATTTAATTTTTATATTTTTGACAAATCACGTCTTGACACGTGTCATGTGACTTATTATAACAAGTTTGATGACTGGTTGGGACCATTAGAAGCAAATTCATATCAGAGTTTGGATTATTAAAAAATAATCGAAAGTTGGGATTATTTGGGGCGAATCGAGCAAAGTTGGGATTATTCCTGTCAATTTTTCCTTTAAAATTAAGCAAACTTCAGTTGGATAATATTAGTAAATATTGCTCATTACATCTCCGATTCTTTTTCTTCCACAGGGATTGGCATTCCAATTGATTGATGATGTTCTTGATTTCACTGGCACATCTGCATCACTTGGAAAGGGTTCACTTTCTGATATTCGTCATGTAATTACCTCTTGTCTGTGATTAAGTGTTGTACATGTTTTGCCAATATTCTTCTTCAGGGAAGTGACAATTCATTCATACACATCAAAAGTGTCTGGAAGCCACAAAGTTAACAAGTCAGATTGGAGATCAATTAGTGGAAGATGGGAAATTTTCTAACCTAGAAAGATACTCCTGTTACAGTATAATCAGCAATGCCCCTTGCTGTAGTATGTTCTTAGCATCACTGCCACAGAACTTGCTGCAAATCAGTCTTAATATGATAGATGTCTATTTTCTTTAACTCAAAGTGCTACTTGTTTGCATTCTTTTCTACAGGGAATCATCACAGCCCCTTTGTTGTTTGCCACAGAAGAATTCCCTCGATTAGGTGAAGTTGTGCAGCGAGGCCTTGACAACCCTGCAGATGTTGATCTTGTATGTTTATGTGTGAATCTCATGTTAAAATCCTGCATTATTTCTTGTTTGAGAGTCTTGCCGAAATCAATGCTTTATTATGTGTTAGGTGCCATTTTGTAGTCAACCTCTGTTACATATTCCTTCACAGTTAAATTTTTATAAAGTATAGCCATTTGGGCATTAGGACTTTGCAGGTTGGTCAATTAAACATTTTTTTCTGACTCATGCTACCTTACAAGTCAGGAAGCATTTTTGCTAGAATCTGTGTACCCGTGTTGCCTGAATCATCAAACTTTCTAAGTTATCTTAATATCTCGTGTAATGAACTTTCTGAATATTATTAAAAATTCTAGAGCAATAAAATATTGTACAATGGATTGGAGTGAGAAGTGTACATTGGTCAGCAAAAGGCTTTTATTGTGGCTCTATAATCTGATTGGCCACTCTGTTGGCAATGATGAGTCTTGTGTTCTCTGGATAATTTTAAGGCTCAGGAGCCAATTTCTATTATACCCAGGTTCTATTTAAGAATTGGGCTGTACAATTTATGCTTATATCCCTTGAAGCTAGAGATTAGTTTACTTTTGCCATTCCCGACCCTTAAACAAGTTCTCTTTTTCATGGTCACTGAAAACTCATAAAGACTGGAATCTTTAAATGAAGATTTGTGAACATTACCTGGGTTTGGTAATAAATTGGGGTTTGGGTCGAGGCATTGTGCCAAGGATATGCATTTATGGTGGTCATTTTCTCCGGACCTCTTAATTCTTCTGATGATTATTTCTTTTCAGGAAATTGTTTAGGATGTCTTGTCAAGAATAAATACCTGTCATACAAATAGATGAAAGTTGATCTACAATTATCTAGGATATTCGTTGCATTAGCCAATGGCCCAATACTGAAAATAGGGAGATAATCAGAAAAGAATTGATGATTTCCTGCTAGGTTTTTCTTTAAAAGTATCATATGCTGGGGAAGTTCTTATTGTGTGCTCATTGTTAGTGATGTGGCAAATACGGGTGGAAATATTATTTGGTAGTGTTCATATCTTCGGTGCCTGTTGGCTTGAACACGCCCCTGCAACCTACTTACCTGCTTGGGTGTTAATCACAAAATCTAGTCTTTTGCATTAGAAAAGTTATATTTTTTCATTATGTATATTGGTAAAGAGTTTACCAGATTATTTTCCAGTAGCAGGGGTTTATTCATCTATATATATTTTCTTAAAAACACGTATTATATCTTGTTGATTTTTTTAAAATAAATTCTGGTTGACAAATTTGATGTATTTGTACAATCGTTTTTTGCATTTAGGCTCTTGATTATCTTGGTAGAAGCCAAGGAATTCAAAGAGCGAAGGATTTAGCATTGAAGCATGCAAACCTAGCGGCTGCAGCCATTGATTCTCTGCCCGAGAGTGATGATGATGATGTTAGAAGGTCAAGGCAGGCACTCATAGATCTTACACTCAGAGTTATAAACAGAACAAAGTGAAGAAAGATTTACTTGAAGCTTTTGAATTCCACTACTTTGTTTGATCTATTGTATACATGTATAATGAGGCAGTCCCTAGTGTACTGGTTGGCCTCAATATTCTTTCACAGGTTCAATTATGTACTTTTGCTGCTGTTCAGAAGCAGGTTTTTGTTGAACGTGGATTACGTAAAGTAGCAGTAGTGAATTTTTTATTTTTTATTTTTTTTTGAAATAGTTACGAAATTAAAAGGAATTTTTTGTTTTAAGGCTCTTCTATGGGTGCCTTTGAGCTTCTTGTCTTCTATACTACTCCCTTTGCTTCACAATAACTGCAACACTTTTTTTTTTTTTTTTTAGTAAGTAAATTTTATAGCTCAAACACTATTTACTCCCTTCGTGTTTTAATAAATATTACACTTACTAAATATGGTCATGTTTTAATAAGTGTTACACTTTATTTTTTTTGGGGCAGAAAGCTACATTTAAATATAATATCTTTCTCCTCTCATGGTCCCTACTCAAACCCACTATTATATTTTTTAATTATTTTTTTCGTCTCACATTCATTACTTTTCAATAAACTATATTAACCCTACTATATTTCTTTTACAATTTTTTAATACTCTAACTAGCTCCACTTACCTCTTATTTTATTTGAGTCAATTATATTGTCTAAAACTATGTGCTGGTCAAAGTGTAACATTTATTAAAACACGGAGGGAGTACAAACAAGTCCTAATAGGGAACAACACAAACTAAAGCAAGCCCTATGCTATACAACTTGCTCCTCTAACCAACTCTTATCATCATGCCCAATTTTCTTTGAACTGACTTCTAACGATCTGTTCCTAATATCCATTGTTTCAGGGTTTTTTATGTGTCATGCGGGAGAGTTACGTCACGAAGACTAGATCCTCTTCGCCTGTACCTGCAAGCAAACGGAAGCTCTGGTTGTACAGAGTTTCGCCTCCGACGATCAAGTTAGTAAGAGTCGAAGTTGAGAAAAATGCTGAAAAGTAAAGTGAATCATCTCGGATCCCGAGATCTAGAGATTTCTCTGTTGTGAGAGAATAATAAATGATGTAATAAATGAACGTGCCCCCAAAATGGGGTAAATGTCCTTATTTATAGGGCATTGGGAATCAACGTCCCTTTCCTAGGTTATCAACCTAAGACAATAGGCTGCGCCATTTTTAGGCGCTTCGGGATTTAGGCCTCGGGATGCCACGTGTCAGCTGATGATTGGTCCTCTGGGGACCTCTCTTAGGGAGACACGTGTCACCTTTTGATTAGGCCACGGGGCCTGGGCATTTTTGCCCAAATCATTTGCCCTTTACAGGGGTAACGTGGCGTGCCACGTGGCGCCTATGACACTTGTCACTTTGGCATTGGTCAACAGTTTTTAACTTTTCACCTTCTGTGGAAATTACAAGGATGGCCTTGATTTTACCCCTCTATAAATAGAGATTTACCCCCCCTCATGTTTGACATTTCGTAAAACGTAGCGTCTAGGGAGAGAAAGTAAGAAATTTTTAGAGAGAGAGACCCTAATAACCGTTTGTGTTAGCCTTTTGATAATACCGTTTGATATTACCGCTTGATAATACCGTCTGATATTACCGCTTGATACAACCGGTCAACGCTTGACACCTCTTCCTTTCCAGAAAATTTATTGAGGTAACCCTCTCTATCTCAACTTTTTCCTCCTTTTACCGTTTGTGCATATTGTTTTGGATAAATGGATTCACCAACAACACACATGGCACAGCCTAGGGTCGTAGTCAGTCGATCTCCTGGTTTAACACCTCGATAATTCTCCCTTTAAACCTGTAAATTTAAGAGAATTACTGACGTGCTAACGCCACATGTTCAAACGTTAAGGCTAGTTCAAAATTTAATAGCGGAAAAAACTAACTCAGTTATAAATAAGTTTCAAAACCAAAGAGCAAAACCAAGTTAAGTCTTACAAGTTGGAACCATTAAGACCCTTATTCAAAACCCAGCAAAAATAGTAAATAAATCAACCGGAGTTTAAATAAATTCTAACTTATGAAATGAAATAAACTGTGAACAATATCCAACACTCCACTCAAAATCCCACCACCTTGATGCAAGTCCAGGCCAGACTATGTAAACACCTGTGATAAAATCTGCTCCTCAATATTACAAGTATAACAGGGTCATTGAAAGGCGAAGGCCATGACCAGGAAAAAGACACACAAAAGCACACAATCAGCAACGATGAGTACTTACAAGCTACGAAATATAACAAAGAATCCCTAGCATGTTACTAAAAATTAATCAGCACACCCAATATAATTATTGACTTAAACACATGCCTTAACTGTTAACATTACTAGGACTTCACTAACTACTGATAAATAATTCATTTCATTTCATTTATTGATTGGATTAAGCAATAGACAAGGTTGTCTCCCCAAGCTCCATTTCGGAACATCAATAAAAGAAAAACCCCATGCCTCCTTTAAGAAACATCAATAAACATTGCCAACTGATTACGTCAAGCGAACTGTCGATATTAATGAGTTTTCGACCAACCTTTTGGTTAGCCACCTTGCTTTCAATAACTATGGGGTCGTCATGCGGCCGGCGGACCTTGCCCCGGTCCTTTTCAGAGATGACGACCTCAGGAAAAGTGTCAGCAGACGTCTGACCTTCGTCAACTGAGTTGACCATTTTTCTAACATAGTCCTTGGTGCCTCTGATAGTTGGGCAACCGAAGGCAAAACCGCCTGAAATGGTGCAGAACATGTCCGGATTAGTGTCTGAACCACTATCAGCCTTTGCTGGCTTTTTGGACGGCTGCCTAGGGTCTGTCTTCAATGTCACCTTGAACTTGAGGATGTAGGAATTCAGCACTCCTTTATCAGCCAATCTATCAAGCAACCGCTTGAGGTTGTAGCAATTGTTGGTGTCATGGCCAATGTCCTCATGGAAGTGACAATACTTGCTTTTGTCTCAGTTTTTGGTTGGACCCTTCATTGCCGAGGGCTTTTCAAAGTTCACTCGGTCTTTGATTTCCATGAGGATGGAATAGCATTCCTTGTTAAACTCGTACTTAGGGACGTACGGCTTAACCTCTTTCTTTTTCATTTTAGACGGTTGACTAGAGTCGTCGACCGTCCAGATGTCTTTTCTCTTTTTATTCTCTTCATTTTTCTAAGCCGACTGATCTTGCTGACTCCTTTTTTGTTTGTCGGACCTCTTAGAGTCCGGCTGCTTGCTAGAGGCCGCATGTATATAGGCCTCTGCCTCCCTCATTGCTTCTTGAAGAGTGAAGATTCTCTTTCGGACGAGGTTAAACTTAAATTGTGACCCGTCCTTCGGACTTTTAAAAAAGTCTGTGAAAGCAACTTCGTTAGATAGTCCTTGGATATGGATTCTCACCAGATTGAACCGCCTAACATAAGAACGACGCCCCTCCCCGTCTCCTTGAACAACCGTGCCCAAGTCGATGCTTGTCTTCTTGGCCGGTATGTTCATGGAAAAGTTAGAGGCAAACAGGAATGCAATCATCCTGAAATTGTTTATGCACCCAGGCGGCAAGTTGTCGCACCACTGTTGGGTAATGCTCTTCAGCATAGCTGGGAAGCATCTACACCATACAACATCATCCAACCCCTGTAGATTCATGAGGTTGGTGTAGGCCATCAGGTGGTCTTCTGGGTTGGTGGTGCCATCATAGGCACCAACCAAGACATTCTAAACCTAGGCCGGCTGTGCTGCCTTGGTTATTTCCTTAGAGAACATAGAAGGTTGTTCTTCAAGCTTGAGCAGACGGATCTGCCAGTCCAGGGGCTGGACTTGATATGCCGCTTGACCTTCGAAGATTGTAGGCTGCTGATATTGTTGGGCAAATGGCCCGTATGATTGATGGGGCACATACGACACTGAGCCTATCACATGAGGGCCTGTGGGGATGGACTGGCCACCTAACAGGTGCTCTTGTGCTGATTGGGAATACCTCTGTTAGGTATTCCTGAAGCTGTCTGGCATTGTCGGCAGGGATGCCGTGTCAGATAGCTGACTGTTTCTCCTGTGCTCGATGATTAGCCGAGCATCAATGAAAGTCTTCTTGTTGCCATCTGGCTGTACTTGCTGGATGGGCTTCCTCTTTACCGTCTCTGGGAGACGGAATTTTGTCCAGTCAATTAAGGGCCGGTCCCCCTCCTTTTGCTTGGGATGTGGAGTGAACTGCCTGTCCTTGACCGGCTTGGTGTTCCTAAAGTGAGAAGGCTTCTTGGCCGACTCTCCTTTGCTCGGACCAGCCGGCTGACTCTCGATGAGATCTTTCATCTCACCTTTGATGTTCGTCATGAAATTCACGAACTCTTCACGGGTGATGTGAGCAGTTTGCCCTTCAGCCTGGGCTTACTGGCTGACTTGCTCGGACCCGCCTGATTTTTGCCCCGTTCCTTGTTATCTTTTGAATGGATGCGTTTAGAGATGAGGGATCCATCTTCGGTCGTATGTACTTCGACCTCTAGATCTGACTTAGTATCATGGTCCGAATGGACATCTGCTGACGAACGTTTGTCCTCAGCTGACGGTATAGGTTCTCTAGAAACCATCTTAGAGGTACTCTCCCCACAGACGACGCCAAATGTCTTGGAGTTTTTTTTATGTGTCATGTGGGAGAGTTACGTCCCCAAGATTGGATCCTCTTCGCCTGTACTTGCAAGCAAACAGAAGCTCTGGTTGTACAGAGTTTCGCCTCCGACGATCAAGTTAGTAAGAGTCGAATTTGAGAAAAATGCGGAAAAGTAAATTGAATCTTCTCGGCTTTCGAGATCTAAAGATTTCTCTGTTGTGAGAGTAATAAATAATGTAATAAATGAACGTGCCACCAAAATGGGGTAAATGTCCCTATTTATAGGGCATTCGGAATTAGCGTCCCTTTCCCAGGTTATCAACCTAGGTAAATGGGCTGCGGCGTTTTTAGGCTCCTCAGGATTTGGGCCTTTGAAGGCCGCTTTTTTCCCTAATGATAGGGGATGCCACGTGTCAGCTAATGATTGGTCCTCTAGGGAATGATTGGTCCTCTAGGGACCTCTCTTAGGGTGACATGTGTCACCTTTTGATTGGGCCACATGGCCTGGGCATTTTTGCCCAAATCGTGCATCTTACATTTTTTTTTACAATTGTATGTATACACAACACTTTAGAGTCTGAAAATTTTTTTTTTGAACTTTCTAGATCTAGTACACAGTTGCTACAATACAGACTTTCAGCAAGGTCGGCCTAAAGATAGGC